TGTAGCCTGGAATCCAGTATTGAAATGTTGCACTGTTAAATTCTTTTTCGATTTTTTTCCTTTTGTTACTATTTTTTCACAATTCCGAATAACTACCGCAAAAAAATCCGCTGTCTCGCAACGCGCCAAACTCAACTTAAAACGCTGACTACTGAACATCAACTAAACGGTGAATTGTTTTTTCAAATTCAAATGACTACACCAACAACAATACAAGGAGAAGGAGGAGGTCAGTTCTGTCAGTATTGAACTAACTGTAAAGGGCCCAAACACTCACACACCCAGGCATTCATTTGTGGGGTAGAGGGTGCCATGCAAAAAAAAAAACAAGAAAGCCTCTACGGGGTTTCTTTGTAATGCGGCGGCTTTTCCTTCACACACCCATTTGAATATATTAGGGAAAGTTTTCCGCGTTTTCGCTAATAGTTGATTTTCCCTCGTTTGTTGTTTTTTTCTGCTCATGTTCGGCTTTTTTCCAAGTAGTCAGTGTAGACATTATAATTGCCTTTAAATAATTAGTAATGGGGCTAAATGGTTTGGAAGGTACGCCAAGTTTATGAAGGGGGTTAAATCTTAGATATATATTTTTAATTTTTTAAGAGAAATTAAAAAAAATAAAATCACAATCGGAAGCTTTGGCTTATTTTTTCCTTGAAAAATATCGCCTCCGAATATTATTTTTTGTAGCTAACCCGGAAGGATACATCGCCCGCCTCATTGTCCTATACCCTCTCTAATGTGCCATTTATTTGATTAAATATTTGGGTTTGGTTTTTCCAAAAAAAAAAATCACAGTCGAACACTCATATCATTGAAAACGTCATAATTACATCATGTTCATTGTTATTTTTTTCGACATTTGATTAATCGGTATATCGCGTTAAACGTCTACGGTATCTGATCGTATGCTAAGCAAAGAATAATAAAGGAAATAAAATATTGAATTCTGAATAAGGAATGCCAGGATCTATTAAAGAATATTTTTTCAAGTCAACAACAAGGCGTGGATTTTTTAAAGAATTTTTTTTTCAAGGCCTAACAAGGCGTTTATTTCTAAAAGAATATTCTTTCAAGGCTTACCCAGGCGTGGATTTTTAAAAAATGTTTTTTCCAAGGCCTAACGAGGCATGGATTTTATAAAGAATAATTTTTTAAAGGCTTAGCCAGGTGTGGATTTTTTAAAGAATATTTTTTTAAAGGCTTAGCCAGGTGTGGATTTTTTAAAGAATATTTTTTTCAAGCCTAGAACAAGGCGTGGATTGTTCCTGGGCTCCAACAAGGCGTGGATTTTTTAAAGAATATTTCTTTAAAGGATTTCCCATGCGTGGATTTTTTAAAGAATAATTTTTTAAAGGCTTTCCCAGGCGTGGATTTTTTAAAGAATAATTTTTTAAAGGTTTTCCCAGGCGTGGATTTTTTAAAGAATAATTTTTTAAGGCACCCATACAAGGCGTGGATTTTTTAAAGAATAATTTTTTAAAGGCTTTCCCAGGCGTGGTTTTTTTAAAGAATAATTTTTTAAAGGCTTTCCCAGGCGTGGATTTTTTAAAGAATAATTTTTTAAAGGCTTTCCCAGGCGTGGATTTTTTAAAGAATAATTTTTTAAAGGCTTTCCCAGGCGTGGTTTTTGTAAAGAATAATTTTTTAAAGGCTTTCCCAGGCGTGGTTTTTTTAAAGAATATTTTTTTAAAGGCTTTCCCAGGCGTTGTTTTTTTAAAGGCTTTCCCAGGCGTGGTTTTTTTAAAGGCTTTTTCAGGCGTGGATTTTTTAAAGAATATTTTTTTAAAGGCTTTCCCAGGCGTTGTTTTTTTAAAGGCTTTCCCAGGCGTGGTTTTTTTAAAGGCTTTTTCAGGCGTGGATTTTTTAAAGAATAATTTTTTAAAGGCTTAGCCAGGTGTGCATTTTTTAAAGAATAATTGTTTTCAAGCCTAGAACAAGGCGTGGATTTGTTAAATAATATTTTTCCTGGGCTCCAAAAAGACGTGGATTTTTAAAGAATATTTTTCCTGGACTCCAACAAAACGTGGATTTTTTAAAGAATATTTTTCATGGGCCAACTGAGGCGTGGATTTATTAAAGAATATATTTCCTGGGCTCCAACAAGGCGTGGATTTTTTAAAGAATATATTTCCTGGGCTCCAACATGGCGTGGATTTTTTAAAGAATATTTTTTTTAGTCTTCCCCAGGTGTGGATTTTTTTAAAGAATAATTTTTTAAAAGCGTGGATTAGTTAAAGAATAATTTTTAAAGGCGTGGATTTTTAAAGAATAATTTTTTCAAGTCAACAACAAGGCGTGGATTTTTTTAAAGAATACTTTTTTCCAAAGCCCAACAAGGCGTGGATTTTTTAAAGAATAATTGTTTCAAGTCAACAACAAGGCGTGGATTTTTTTAAAGAATACTTTTTCCAAAGCCCAAGAAGGCGTGGATTTTTTAAAGAATATTTTTTCAAGGCGTGCATTTTTTAAATAATATTTTTTTCAAGGCGTGCATTTTTTAAAGAATATTTTTTTCAAGGCGTGCATTTTTTATAGAATATTTTTTCAAGACGTGCATTTTTTAAAGAATATTTTTATAAGGCGTGCATTTTTTAAAGAATATTTTTTTCAAGGCGTGGATTTTTTAAAAAAATATTTTTTCCTGGGCTTCAACAAGGCTTACCCAGGCGTGAATAAAGAATAATGGTTTTCAAAAGTGAATCCTTAGTACATCTTAGTTCAAAACATATCGATTTCATGTTCCCAGAAATATTTACAATGCCAACATAGTTTAGTCGTTTTCCAATTATTCTATCACTATAATTAATAATCTTTGCTGTTTTTGCAAAGCCTAACAGGTCCTTGACTTTGTACACATTACAATATGTCTGGCAAATATACCAGTTATTCGAAATACAATGGGAAGAAACCACACATTTATGAATATCACGGCAACAACACCTTCATTGTGTTGAAAAAAAAAAACATCCCTCAGAAGTAAACTAAAGACAAAGTAGTACAAAACAACAACAAAGAACCTGAAAAATAACATGAAGACATTTATAATAGTGTACAAGCGACCACCAGCCTACCAATATTTTTTGTAAAATATACCCAGGTCATTTCCGTTTTGCAAATATTACAACACCGCAACCAGGGTTCTGTGTCGTTGTTGAATAGTTTAGTCAGTTGGTCGCCAAATATAATTGTTGTTGTGATTTGTGATTAGTTTTTTGTTGTTGCTTTTTACTACAATACGTTGTTAGGTCACTCACTTTCTCATGGTCATCACACGAAAGGCAGAAAGGAAAACAAATGTTGAAATGTAAAGAAAGGTGATTGAAAAAGAAGGTAAGAAATCACCAATAATAATTATAGTTGGTGTTCAGTTCTGGTGGTAGAAACTGTACTTTATTTTTTTTATACCTCAAATGAAAACTAAAAATTAAGACATTTGAAAATAATTCCTTTTGTAAATGTGGGCGTATGAGTAATGTAATATGAGATAATTATTATTCATACGCACCAATACATATTTTCGAAAATCAAAGCACTTGTATTTTCCTTGAAATTCTAAATATTAAAAAATATTCTTAAAAATGTCCCGCCTTGTTCTAGGCTTCGACATAAATACAACTTATCAAGTAACGACATTTGTAAACCACATTGCCCAATATGCCTGATGTGCCGCTTAACCAACGGCGAAACGCGTCGCATAATGGTGGGAATGTAGTATTTCTCTGGCTTTCCTTTTCATTGCAACTTCGATCATAGAGCTCATCTCAAAAGAGAAATTAATAAAAACATTTACATGAACGATCCTTCGCCCTAAAAAGGCATAAAAGTTAAAAAATCTCCAAAAAATCTACGCCTTGTTTTAGGCTTAAAAAATATTCTTTAAAACTCCACGCCTTGTTGGGCCTTGAAAAAAGTATTCTTTACAAAAAATGCACGCCTTTTTGGGTCGTAAAAAAATATATTTAAAAATTACGAATTTTTTGAACCTCCTACTTTATTATTTGTGTAATTATAATCACGTTTTGTTGATAAAAAAAATTTTGTCTGCATTATCTTCTACTAATGTGCTGTATAAAATTAAATATTACTTAAAAATGCATTTAAAATTATAATTGTAACATTTGTTTACTGTGTGTGATTTTGTGCACAGTGGTTACAAGTAAATAATATTTTATTTTGTTAATTATTATTATTATTTTTTTTTTGTTCCGATAACCTCTTTTAATATGAAACCTAATTACATTTGGCCTTCCCATCTTAGCCTCAGCCAATATTCCGTCCAACTTCAGAAACCCTCCCACCCGAATTAATTCACTGTGCTACAATTTATTTATATATTTCCCTGAAATAGATAAATATTTTGTGTTAACATTACATTAAAATAAACACTCGACATTATCAGTTGCCTTGCTGCACAAATTGCTAATTCCGATTTAAACAAATAACTTCGCAGTCATATTTAACGTTAAATAACCCATTACAGGTCTTATCTATTGTTAATTAGGGTAATTATAACAACAACAAAAGAGGGAAATAACTATTGTTAAACAGGGTGACTTTTTTAAATATTTCTAAGGCCGTAGTTTTTTAACGAATATTTTTTCAAGGCGTGGATTTTTTAACATATAATTTTTCCAAGGCGTCGATTTTTTAACGAATAATTTTTCCAAGGCGTCGATTTTTTAACGAATAATTTTTCCAAGGCGTCGATTTTTTAAAGAAGAATTTTTCTAAGGCCCAAGAAGACTTAACATTTTTTTTTTGATTTAAAAAAATTGATTATAATTTATCGGTCTCTCAATGGGTTAATCTTGGGAAAATGTTTATTAGTAATATAATATTACGAAATTATTATTATTTTTTATCTAAGTACGTTTGTGTGTTAATGTAAATATTACAAATATTACACCTAGAATCAAAAAAGAGTGACAGAGATTGTGTGTGAGAGAGAGTGAGAGCGAGCGAACAGCAATAACAACAACGCCGCGTCATTGTTGTTAAACAAATACTTCGTCAAATTGCATTGATAACGGCATTGACCGACCAACATGACATCGAATAACATTAAAAATTTACGCCAGCTGTCGCCGGAAGAACGCAAAGAATTCCTGGAATCTTTTGATGTCATCTTTTTTGACTGCGATGGAGTTCTGTGGATGGTTACGGGTGGACCCATACCAGGAGTATTCGAAGCACTGCAACGTCTCAAGGATCAGGGAAAGCGAGTGAAATTTGTATCGAACAATAGTGTACGATCACATGCGGAATATTTGGAAAGATTTGCAAAATATGGTATGGCAAATGTCCAAGAGGTAAGGGGGAGAGAGAGAGAGAGTGTGAGTCATATTTTGTTTGCAATGGTTATCTGATTGCGAAATTTCTTACAGGATGACATTGTCCATCCGGTCAAATCAATGATTTGGTATTTAAAACGTCACAAACCCAATGCAGTGGTATTGCCCTTGGTCGGCAAAGCAGGCAGGGATTTATTGGTGGATGAGGGTTTGAATGTTGTTAATATGGATTTGGATACAACAACATGTGCCGCCATGGGATATTTTGTCTTAAAACATGGCCCTCCCAAGGTGGACTATGTTCTGGCTGATGTCAATCCCTCTGCGGGTTATATACATTTGGTCAAGGCATTGGAGTATTTGAAGGATCCTCAGTGTCAGCTGTTGCTGGGAGCAATGGATGCGGTCATACCCTTGGCTGCTGGACATACAATGCCGGGTAGGTTAAAACATTTAGATTTTTTTTTTCTCAAAAAATTGTCTTTAAAAAATCCACGCCTTGTTAGAGGCCTTTAGAAATCCACGCAATTGCCTTGAAAAAATATTCTTTAACAAATCCGCGCCTTGTTGGAGGTCTTGAAAACATATTCCTTAAAGAAATCGGCGCCTTTGTGGAGGCCTTTAAAAATCCACGCCTAGTTGGAGGCCTTTAAAAATCCACGCCTTTTTGGAGACCTTCAAAAATCCACGCCTTTTTGGAGACCTTCAAAAATCCACGCCTTTTTGGAGACCTTCAAAAATCCACGCCTTTTTCGAGACCTTCAATCATCCACGCCTTATTGAAGGCCTTTAAAAATCCACGCCTTCTTGGAGGCCTTTAAAAATCCTCGCCTTCTTGGAGGCCTTTAAAAAATCCCCACCCTCGGAGGCCTTACAAAACATTTTTTTTTAAATCCCCGACTTCTTGGGCCTTGAAAATTATTCTTTAAAAAATCCATTCTTATAGAAATGTTGAATATTTTTAGTAATTTCTTTAATTTGTTCCAGGTTACTTAGATTTCTATAATTTCCTCATAAAACATTCCAATAAACAACCCATTGTTTTGGGTAAACCTTCCCAGCTGCTGGCGGATATTCTCAAAGAACGTTTCGGAATATCACAACCACAACGTTGCCTTTTTGTAGGAGATTCTTTAAAAATGGATATAAATTTTGGAAAAAGTGTTGGCTTCCAGACATTATTCGTACTGAGCGGTGCCAATACCAAAGAGGATATGTTGAATACGGAGGAATGTAATCAACCGGATTATTATGCTGATAGTGTGGGCGATTTTATGGAGTTGTTTGTGAATTAAAGAAAAGTTCCTAAAAATAATTTTAAAAATATTTTTAATAATAAATTAAAATATTTATTTGAAATTGATTTAAGTATCATTAAAATGTTTTAAGGTGAAATGGTCGTTACTATGTCATGTGATGAAGGGGGCCTATAATATGAAGAAAATTCCGAATTCAGCTCCAAAAATTTCAAGATTTTCTTTGAATTGTTTCATATTAATTTTTTGAGGTTATGTTGAAATATCCAACAATTTTTTCTTACCAATATTATTTTTAATAATTAATATTAATTTATATAAATTAATTATATAATTTCTATTATAATATATATTATTAATGATGAAAAGAAAATGCATTGGCAATTTATTTTAAAATATTTTTTGAAGATTTTTAGTTTATTTTTCAATACCAAAAAAATTAATTCTTAGTTATTTCCAAACGCAATTTTTTTATAAGAAATTCATTTGCAATTCCATTAAATTATTTCATCATCATTCAGGAGAATATTTTATATCCAATTTACAACACTTTAATCACTTCACAGGAGGTTTCAAATATTTCCAATTTTGAAAAATTGTTTAGTTATTTCAAAACACTTGTATATATATTTAAAACCCATTTCATATCAAATTCCTTTAAATTATTTTATCATCATTCTTGAAGTATTTGTTCTTCTATCTTTAAAATTTTATCAATTCCAATATTGTCCCGCCTTTTTAACGCAAAATATCCATTATTTTATTAACAGTAAATTTTAATACATTTTCTTATTTCATTTCGATTTCGAAAAATAAAAATCCGTAAACCCGCCTTTTCAAATGTCCACAAAAGTACTGATTGCAAAAAAATGGAAATTACAACAACTGCAATGGCCAACAAAACTAAACGCGTCGCAAAACCATGGCTATGAAACAAAAGTAGAAATTTTGACATAGGAATTTGTCAGCAAAACTATTTCCAACTAATTGGATTTTAAACGTTTCATCAAAGGGAATCGAAAACCAGTAAGGAAAGTAGTAAATTCGGACTGGGCCGACTATATGATACCCTTCACCACTTTGGGTATATTTTACATATGTATCCTAACAGACGACGCGTTTTGTTATAAATCTATATCTGAACCGATTTCAGGGAAGCTTGCCAGAGATTAATTTATATAACATCAGTACGTTGTGTCAATCGGCTTGCTATGGATCTTTTCACGAAGCTTATCAACATCATTCTAGACTTAATACAGTACCCTATACCAAAATTCGTGCAAATCGAAAGATATATAGGGTCTTTGGTGCACCAATTACCTTAAATCGGATGAAAATACATATGGGAGCTATATCTAAATATCTAATTGGAGACAATTCAGTTGAAAAATATGCACGTACCATTACATGGAGGATATACCTAGACATGGACCGATATTGATAATTTTTGGTAGGAAGATTTTACACCCCACCAGAACTCAAAATATCAAATAAGTGTCATGTTGGTATGAAAACTTGTCCAAAATTCCGAAATATAAAGAGTGCCCATATATGAGAGCTACACCAAAACCTGGCCCGAAGCATATCATTTTCAATACCAAATATTCTAGGAGTAGTATTAATGTCTGTGCAAAATTTCAAAGCTATATCTTTAATATTACGATATCTATCTCCATCGGCATATAATTTTATTCCTATCAAAAATATATTTACTTTTTGAAGTATTCGTCTAATATTTTGATGTGTTCCCAAAGCAAAGATAAATTTATTATACGCACTGTCTGGTGTAGGGTATGGAAAATTCAGTTGACAGTGAAAATCCACAAAGAGAAAAATAGATTTGTATTTATCATGTTCACGTGCATTGAAATTGTATACCTTTTTTATTTTAGTTGCTTGATATAAGCATTTCTTGTACTTAGTAAAAGAAAAGATAAAAAAATCGGCAACAACATCAAATGAAGGACACAAACAGAGAGGGATAGGCAACTGGCAATTACATTTCATAATCATCAGGATGATAAAGTTCAGTCAACAAACGATAAACATAGGAAGGAGCATGGCCGCCACTAGAAAAACAAATATAGGAAAATTACTTCATGTCTTTTTCTTTTTCGGTATTTGTTTCCACTTACGTATTCGATATAAATAATGTCACCAATTCCGGGGGTACATAATCAAAGATGGGACTATAGATTTTTGCACAACGTGCTGCCGATGAATCATAGGGCAACACACCCTCAGCACAACCTAGCGAATTGAAGGCATCCTGTTCGTATGAACATAAATGTACGGGTGCTAATTTGTACATGGGCGCCAAAACAATAACCGGCACTGAATAATGTTTGGCCGCCAATGCAACCGTATAGGCGCCACAGGCAGCACGCAAACCACCATTAGCCAAAACACTGTGTGTGCCAATGATCACCTTGTTTACCCTAGACATCATGGCGAAAATGGCCGAATCGGGTATGACAATGATTTCGACATTGTTGCTGGCCAAGCTGGCGGCCAAGTTGTGACCCTACAAAAATATATATTCTTATAATTTATTTTAGATTATTTTTCTGTTACTTACCCTACATGCCGGTGCACATTCGGCAATAATAATGGTCAACGATTGCCGTTTCTTTATGGCCCGTTTCAAAAAGTGTTCAACACTGCGGGTATGACCTAATGTTAGTATAACTTCCGTTGAATGTATATGCTGTTCAGCCTGGGCACATATACTTTCACAGCTGGTTTCCAATTCCGTTTCAATTTCTTCCAAATGATCGAGTAAGGCTTCTTTCAATCCATCACGTGGTACACCATAATTTACGCAAACATCACATTCGCTGGTTTGGGTTACCAATTTATGTAGGGATAACGTGGCCTGGGAATCATCGGGTAAATGATGGACCTAGGGAACGGAAAGGGTTATATGTATTAGTTATTACAAAAAAATTGGGTTGGCTTGAAAATCCGAAGTATAGGTGTAGATTTTTTAAATGGATTTTTAAAAAGGATTTTCTTAACCAATATCCGACCAATAGGCGGTGATTTCTTAAACAGATTTTTTCAACCAACATCCGACCAAAAGGCGTTGATTTCTTAAACAGATTTTTTCAACCAATATCCGACCAATAGCCGTGGATTTTTTAAATAGATTTTTTCAACCAACATTCGACCAATAGGCGTGGATTTTTTTTTTTTTTTTTCTAAACTTTATTTTTTATTTGCAATCTATTTACAATAAACATTCAGCAAATTTGATAAATTCTTAGATATGGACAGAGTAGTTAAATCCCAGTGGATTTAACAATATTATATAATTACAATTTTTAATTAATTTTAAACATTATGTAAGAAATGGGAGATCTAAAACATGCCTTCTTTTCAGTCTTCTGATTTCGTCTGAGTCATCCAATAAGCTGATTGCAAGGATGTTTGAGTGATGGCTTAATCTGTCTAAATATAGAGAACTATAGTTTTTGATTTCATCTTTAATTTTATTAATTTTTAAATCTCTGTGGATGATGTTGTTATTAACGAACCAAGGAGCATCCGTAATCAATCTAAGCGTCTTTGATTGGTATCGCTGCAGAATCTCAATATTTGAATTACTTGTTGTTCCCCAGAGTTGAATACCATATGTCCAAATAGGTTTAAGTATGGTTTTATACAAAATTACTTTGTTCTCCAAACTCAGTTTTGATTTTGGGCGTAGAAGCCACATCATCTTTTTAGTTTTCAAATCCAATTGATGTCTCTTAGATGTTATATGTTTCTTCCAGTTAAGTTTTCTATCAAGGTGAAGTCCAAGATATTTAACACAATCCGCAGAAGGAATGTCAGTTCCATTTAGTGTTGGAGAAGGACAGTCTCCTCTTCTTAAGGTGAAGGTAACATGCACGGATTTTTCGGTATTAACTCCAATATTCCAGTTTTTGAACCATTTTTCAACCATGTTAAGATGTGTTTGGAGTATATTTGTAGCTATAAAAGGGTCGTCATGTGTAGCTAGAATGGCCGTGTCGTCTGCATAAGTGGCAGTCGTAGTTGCGTCACATATAGGCATATCTGCTGTGAAAATTGTATATAATACTGGGCCTAATACACTTCCTTGTGGAACACCAGCTTTTATGCCACCAATATTGGATTCTTCACCGTTGACATGTACATAAAATGTTCTACCAGTTAGATACGAATTTAACAGCAAGTAAAATGGAGCAGGTAATAATCTTTTCAGTTTATATAATAAACCCTGATGCCACACTCTATCAAACGCCTGTTTAACATCCAGAAACACACCAGAACAAAATTGTTTGTTTTCCAAACAATCTCTTATAACTTTCACCAAACGATGACACTGTTCAGGTGTTCCATGTTTTTCTCTGAATCCAAACTGGTGATCAGGCATAACATTTAAATGATGAAGAATTGGAAACAGGCGTTTTCTATACAATTTCTCGAACAGTTTAGAGAAAATGGACAGTAAACTTATAGGCCTATATGATGCTAATATATTTTCAGGTTTACCAGGTTTAGGTATCATTATGATTTTAGCACATTTCCATTGTACTGGAAAATGTGATAGTCTCAGAATTGAATTGAAAATTTGAGTGAGAAAGACCACACCCTTTTTGGGAAAAGATTTTATGACTTTGTGATCTATTGAGTCTGAACCCGGTGCTTTTTTCTTTAAAATTTTAATCTCATCACAAACTTCATTATACCTAAAGGGTTTAATAGGGCGACTCATTTGGCATGGAGCATTCAAAAAATCTGTGATCACCATGTTTTGTCCTGGATTACACAAATCAAAAGGTGAAAACGAATTCACTAGATGATCTTTAAAGGCTTCGGCTTTATCCTTATTAGACCTACACCAAGTTCCATTGGAATTTTTAATAGGCACATTTCTTTTTTGTGGTCTTTTAAGATATTTAGTTGCTCTCCATAAATTGTGATCATTATTTTCATTGGGGCTTAGATTGCTTAAGAAATGTTCAATAGATTTGTTATTATAATCACTTAGCAGGATTTTAAGCCGATTT